CGTCGCCTCGTGTCGCGTCCGCGGGCTACGGTCACGACAGGACGCTGTGGCACGGGCTGAGCTGCGACGTCCTCGGTGTCCTTCCTGCCCGCGGCTCCGTCATGCAGGGGGATTTGCAGGGCTCCCGCGCGGGCTCAGGGCTGGCTCTGCCGCTCGGAGGTGTTGCGTGGCGCTGGGACGGCGCGTGGCCCCGGGCAGCACAGGCTTTGGGAGCGCCTGCAATTACCCAATGTGCCGGCTTCTATCTAATCGTTGTTGGGTGGTTTTGTGTTCTTGTTTAATGAAAGTTCAGGCCTTCGGGGCCAGGATGGGAAACTATTTGTTCAGAATCCTTTTTGGTGATGTTTCTTTTCGGTATGTTTGCTACGTTTTTCCGTGCCCCGTGGGAACAGTTAGTGTTTCTCCACAGAAATTCCTTGAAATACAAATATTAGCCCAAACATGAACATTTTGAAGGTGCCAGAGAAAGAGTTTGCTTAAAAAAAATTACACAAAAGTTCTTCCATTTCCAGAATTTCCAGATTTTTCAGATGGCTTCTTGGAGGCCTTAAAGGAAGAAAAGTAGAGATAAAAATAGACTTTCCCCTCAGATTTTCCTTCTAGACGTTTCCCAGAAACTTCACCTTTTTGCCCTCCAAAGACCCAAATATCTCCTCTCCTTCCCACCAAAGCTCTCAGGAGTCAGACAGAAAGGAGCTTCTTTGGTGTCACGTTTCTCCTGCTGCTTGTGTGATGCTTAGCCCGGGTGAGGGCTTTGGGCAACCCAATGCTGGTGGGGATAAAATAGCCACCACCAACCTCTTGCAAAACCGCTTTCCTTCTCTCAGCCTTTGAGATAATGCAGTGGCTTTAGTGGGGCTCGGTGCGCAGCCCTGAGCAGGGACGTTGTCGTGGCATAAAGGAGGTGGTGGCTGCTTTTCAGATTGCCCTGGCAGCGCGTGAGTTTAGAGCCTGGCTGCCGCCTCCAAGGAGCCTTTGAAGAGCCTGTCCCAGTTGTGGCATGGGCTGTTTCTGCCAGGAGCGCAGCCCCCCTCGGACTCGGGGAGGGTCTGGCACACAGGGAGCTCCTCTCTGGAAGGGATTCCCAAATAACTGCCCACCCTTGGATGACTCACGGCCTCTCTATTCTCTCACCATCTTCCTGTCTCCAGAGCCTCTTCCAAGAAAACACAAGAAAGCGAGATTGGATTTTTCATTCTAAAAAAATCCTGCCTCAAACTTCCCAGTTGTTTTTTTCTTTCATGTAGTGAACCAGCCCCCAGAGACGTGTGCCCACAGTTGTGCACCCTCCCTTACTGTCACATATTTATTCTCGCCCACCCACCTGCACTTGCTCCTGCACATCCACGCATGGGCTTTCCCTTCCCTTTGCCCTTCTTGCTAAGCCCCTGGCTTCTGCCTCAACACAGTCTCCCTGCATTAGCAGGAGGGGCTGGTATTCACAGCCATTTCATCTTAACCTTTTGCAGACTGACTCATTTGTACTGTCTGGCTAATTTTAGGCTGGGGTGGGGACAAGGGGGGTGATGTGTGTAGCTGGGAAATTAATTTAATTACCTAAGCAGTGCTGAGTTTCTTGCAGCTGCCTCGAACGTCCCTCTGGATGCCAAGTGCCCTGTCCCTGTCACTCCAAGCCTTGTGTCCTGCCTCATCCATTGATACCCAGCCCACGCTGTCGTCATTGGGTTTTCTGTTCAGATCTTTCCTGGGATGGCTGAGCAGGGCTGGGCAGAGAGCTCAGCCCCAGGAGAGTGACTCATCCTCCCCGTCTGTGGATGGGGCACTTGCTTTGATTCTCTGCTCACGGAGCAGTGTGGGGAGGGAAGGAGAGAGGGCTGTGACAGTCATTTTCCTTGCAACACCCCTGGGTTCAGCTCTGAACACAGCCCTGTGCATTGGTGCTGCTGGCTGGAAGCAGGCCGTCTCGCCCGCAGGGTTAGCCAGAGCCTGGTTGTTATGAGTAATGATAATAATAACGTATGTAGCGCTAATTACTACTGCAGAGCCGCCCAGGGCATGGCCAGCCTGGAGCTGGCTGTGCAAAGAGCTGGCGGAGCAGGGGACCTGTGAGGATGCTCAGCCCAAAGCATTTTAGGCAGTCCAGCGATGTGGTCGAGCGGGGAAGAGGGTATGGGAAGTAGCAGGAGACAAATGTTATTGGACCCATTCGTCTTGTGCCTGGTGCTGCCAGCCCTAGTCCTGAAGAGGAACAGGGTTCCCTGGGTGCTGTGTGTCCAGTGGGGGTAGACTGGGGGTGGGGACAGTCTCCAGGCTCCAGAGGAAAATTACTTTTTCTGAGTATGCCTGCAGGAATGGGGAGGAAGCATTGAATGCTTCAGGCGAAATAGCTGGGATGCTGCCCTGGTCTTTGCCCCAGAGGTGGCACGGGGCAGAGGCTACGGGGCGCTACTGTCAGTCCTGCTGTGAGTCAGTGCGGGCTGGGCCGGGCCACCCGTTCTATTTTTATGGGGTAGGATGAGTGTGGAGCACAACGTGTGCTGCTTGGCATCCTGGCGGGAGAGGGACACTGATTCAGAGCAGGGCGGAGGGGCAGTGGAGTCGGAGCCTGCAGTGAAGCCAAGTCACACTGCAGGAGGGGACCATGGCCCTGCTCGCTCTGGGGAGGGGTGGGCACGGTCCCGGCTCCCCATGTGCTTGCTGGGGCTTCAGAAGCTATTGGAGTAGCCTTAAAGCCTGTACAAGGCCCATCCTGTCTGTTTTTACACAACTCTTTGGGGATGGGGGAAGGAGATGGTCGTATTTGTTTTAGGCTGTTTGAAATGGTGGTGCAGAGGGATGGGGAGAAACATGCAGCTGGAGGAGCCCAGATCAAGCACCTTCACTGCTTGAAATGGAGTGACTGGGGCGAGCATGGCACCATTCCCGCACTCTCGACCCCAGCGCCAGCCGTGGGCTCATGTGTTTCCCTTTCCCTTCTGCTGCAGAGCCCAGGAGCTACGTTGAGTCAGTGGCACGGACAGCCACGACAGGCAGGGGAGGGAGTCTGCCGACCGTCCAGCCAGAGACCACCGAGGCACCCACCAGGAATGGTGCCTTCCCCAACTCCTTCACCACCCCCAGTCCCATCTCCACCAGCAGCCCCATTCACAGCGTGGACGGGTAAGAGGGCATCTCCTTGCGGCTCTGCGTCCTTCTTTACCATCTGGCAAAACTGGGGGCCCCCTCTGTCACCTTCAGAGGTGGTTGTGACATGACACTCCCCAAGGGCACAGAGCTGGGTCACTGGTGGTCACTGGGCCCTGGGCAGCATCTCGCTGGGAACGTAGTCCCTGGGGCAGGAGGAGGAATTGGGTCTGTGTTAACACTGCTGCGGCTGGGCAGAACGTCCATCCCTTGTTGTGCTGTGGAGCCTTCCAGCAAGTGACATATTTTGGGTGGAAATTGGTGTGTGTGGGAGGACCTGAAGCTGCCTCCTGTTGCTTTTGTGTGGCTGGCAGGTCTTGGACTGCTGTCCTGCTGCTGCCACGGTGCAACCCAGTGGCTTGCTGACTCCCTGCCTCAGTTTCCCTGTGCGCTGCTTGGAGACGTGGCCAGTGAGCAGCCACAAGTTCCAGCAGCTACATCCCTCTCCCCTGCCCATGTCTCCTCAGAGCCTCCATCCGCAGCTACCCGTCGGAGGGCAGCCCCCACGGCACGGTTACGCCTCCCCACGCTTCAGCCGAATCTACTTACCGGTCGCCTGTTGCCTCCCAAGTGCCCTCTGCTCACAGCAGCTACCAAAACTCGTCTCCATCCTCCTTCATTGCGGTCCAAGGAGGGGCCCCGGGCACAGCGTATGGCAGCCCCGCCTACCCCGACAGCCGTGGCGGCCTCACGCCGGAGCCCCAAGCCC